GTGCTCTCCACGGACGTGGTGGAAAACGTAGCCGTGGGTCTTTGCTGGAGGACAGAGCCGCATAAAACACTTTTCATTCTCACACACGCACAATGGCTGGGAGGATGCTGTTCAGAAAGGCTGTGCACCAGGTCTGACTACGTTATACTTTGAACACACATACTTTTCCATCCCAGTGAGTGCCATGTGCTTCAGAGGAGTCATCTGAAAAAGTCAAGCTCTTATTTTATTGCGGGTGAACGGAGTTTGTGGACCTGCTTTCAGTCGATTTACATGCCACCCACGAAAGCCACCGCCCTTACTACACGCATCATATATTCTTAGTGGCTACGGCCAGCATTACCCAACTTACTCACTTCATCGCTGGCTTAAGAACTTTGCCAACGCCCGGCTCTCTCCCCTTTAAAAAAAAATGCTAATTTGTCACCTGCTTTGAGGATTAGCTGCTACGGGTGGAGGGTGCAGGGAGCTACGAAAACAACAGGGAACCATGCGGATACCACAGAGTCACGTCACGTGCACACTGGCCTTTGAGGAATTCAAAGTGTTATCCTGGGATTTCTACAGGCGAGACTAAGAAACCATAGGCGGGCTTTCCCTTCCACTGGGGACGAGCTCGCGGCCCCCAGGCTCGGGCTCTGGCGCGAGCCTCCGGTGGATGGGGCACTCCACCCTGCATCCCAAATGCCTATCTGTGTGAGCAGCTCAAGGTGCTGAGGTCATGTGATTTGGCATCCCCTCTTCTTCTCCCAAACTGCCCTCATTTGGGCCTTTCCTTGTGGGGGGGAGGTGCAGGGGGGCACATAGACCTGCAGTCAACGGCCCCTCAGAGGTCTGGGAACCCTAATATTTTATACTGCATAGCCCCTCAGCGGGGTAATCTTGTGCTCAACCAAATACCCCAGGTTGGTCCCATCCATGGAGGAAATTGGCCATTAGATTCTCCCAACAGGCCTGCGCCAGTCACCAAGGCGAGACCTTCCTACGAGATAGCACAACAGTAACTGTGAACGTGATCTGTGACTTATGCATGGGCTTTTGTTTTATTTTATCATTTTTACTGATTTTTAGAGAGGAAAGGAGAGAAAAAAACATGGACTTGTTCTACTTATTTATTTTTATTTATTTTTTTGTCGAGTCAAGGCCACCAAAAATTTTGGTTGCCTCCCCCACAAAAAAAAAAAAAATTGGGAGAGAAAGAGATTGTTCTACTTATTTATGCACCCATGTATGTGCCCTAACTGGGGAGGGAACCCACCATCTTGGTGTATGGGGGCGATGCTCTAACCCACTGAACTACCCGGCCGGGGCTGCACGGGCTTTAGAATCCAGCCCCCTGTAACAAGAGACCATAGAACTCACTGTCTTGCCTTCGAGGAAAACAGCTCTTAGGCTGTCTCGGACCATGAAGAACTTCGAACTGCCCTGGCCGGTGTGGCTCAGTTGGATGAGCATCAGCCAATGCACCAAAAGGTTGCTGGTTTGATTCCCGGTCAGGGCACATGTCCGGGCTGTGGGCTCCATCCCTGCAGGAGACAGCCAACAGATGTTTCTCTTTTACATCAATACTTCTCTCTCCCTTTCTCTCTAAACTCACTAATCATATGTGTGTGTGTGTATGTTTTTAAAAAACCTTAAAACACTTTTAAACTCCCCCCAGGCAGTACACTCCAGCCCCACAGAATTTCTCTCAGGCCTCTGGGGCACATGCTCCTCCCCGGCTCACTCCCCTACTCCTCAGGCCTCAGCTCAGCCCTGACCAGCTCTCCCTGACCCCCCGCCCGGGTTGGGTGCACAGCACATGTCCCTATGGCATAGTTCGCCTTTGCTGATTGGTGGGTCTACTGTCTTGCCCCGCCATCATGAGGACTTTGGCAGGAGTATTTATTATCGTTACTTATTTTTTTAAATTCTCACCTGAGGTTATTGTTTCCATTGCTCTTTAGAGAGAATGGAAGGGGAGGAGGGAGGGAGAGAGAGAGAAACATCCATGTGAGACACATCGATGGGTTGTATCCTGAATGCACCCCGACTGAAGCTGGGGATTGAACCTGCAACCCAGGTACATGTCCTTGACCAGGAGCCCCTGACCCTTCAGTCCGAGGGATGACACTCTAACCACTGAGCAACTGGCCAGGGCTGCCCAGGAATATTTTGATCCCGATTTTTCCACAAATTCTTGTTGCATGGCAACTGCAACGTTTTAGAACTTGACTTTAATGCTGAATAGTCCTAAATGTCAAAGAATTCTTCCCATGTGGCAATTTCCCAGGGTTCCTCCTACTGCATTTCAAGCTACTGCCCGTCACTGACAGGAGACTGGCCGGGATGCCCTGTGTAAGTAAGACACACACTTGAAGACTCAGTCTCTCGTCATTCCTGTCTCCAAATTGAGTAACTTCAGTCTCTTCGGTCTCATCGCTCTCTCCTCCAAATCCTCTTCATATTTCTCCCCAAATGCTCCAGCTCGGGCCTTCCCAGGGGTCCGTGACCCGCAGTAGATTACCTTGAGGGCAGGTGTGCAAACTCTGTGATGCAAAGGTGAGCGTCCAGACAGCAGGGGGCAGGGGGTGGCTTTAGCATCACATAGCTGAGTACAAGGCCAGGAGTCTAAATCCAGAGTCCCTTCACCTCCCTGATCAGCACATGGCAAGAGGAAGTCTCCGCACTCGCCCGACCAGAGCATCACGGGAGGCAGAGTAAGTGGGCGCACCCCACATCTGTCCTGGCTGGTTACACATCAGCCTCAGGCTGCCCCTCCAGCCCACAGAGCAGGGCACTGGGGGCGCTTCCCCAAGGCAGTGACCTCAAGCCAGGTGCAGCGAGGCTGCGAGGGACCTGGTTGTCAGGCAAATCCTGCCACCTTGTGGCGCTCATGCATATGGGCCCAGCCCAGCGGCCCTGAAGCCCTGCCTAACCCGGTCCACCTCCACCTGGCTTTAGTCCCGGGTGACCTCTCAGAGCCCTGAAAATCCCAAGGATCCCTAGCCGGGAGGTGTCCTCCCGAACCCCGTTCTCAAGATGTCCCCAATTTTGTCTTCCCTAATCGCACTGGGGCTATTTTTCCAATGGAGAACCTGGAAGTCTCTCCCTCCCCTGTCCCTTCTCAGGGGCTCAGCAGCGACTTGGGGCCTGGGTAGCCAGGTTTTCAGGAATCAGTGGTGTTCCCGCACTGCCAAACCCTCAACACGCCTGCTGCCGGCTTCTTCGGCCCATCTGAGGATGGCTTGGGGCAGAGTGGCTGCTGTGCACATGTGCGCGCGCGCACACACACATGCACCGATTCCAGGCTGTCCCCACCCGGGACTCACAGGGGACCGCCCAGGGCCAGCCCCTCCGCTGCAGCGTGCTGGCTGTCTGGGCCTCTCCCTGCACCTTTATAGCCACAGCTGCTCTGGACCCCTCTCCTGGGAGCAGGGCCCAGAGCAGATTCTTCCTTCGCTTCCTGTGGTGTTGGGCTTTCGAGGCAAGTGGAAGCTGACTGACAGCCGAAATGACTGGCTCCAATCCAGGCTTCCACGGAATAAAGCTGAGAAGGGGGGAGAGGCGGGGAGGAGGGAGGGAGAAGGGGCGGGGGCTGCCCTAAGGTTTCCGGCACACGGGCTTCATCTTCATCTTGCTGTGCGTGCCTGCAGCTTAGCGCTCTTAGTAACTGAATTGGCAGCCTCTCTGCTGTCTTTTCCCCTGCTTGTGTAATAGAATAGGTCGGCGGGTCTATTCTGGCTTTAGTGCCCCATAAGCCTGTGCTAACAGTGGCTCCGGATTTCCTGGCCCGGGGTGGGGTGGGGTGGGGGTAACATGCCCAGCCCCTTGGCTGTGACGATGGCACTGCCACGCATGCACTTTGAGATTGGCCATGGAATGAACACACTAATGTCCAAACTACCCATGTCCCTTATCAGACAAGTCGGACAGAAACGCTTGGTTAACATAAAACCTGGAAAAGGAAAGAATGGGAGATGTAAAAGCTAGACGATACAGCGGAATTCAGAATGTAGGAGTCTAAAGCCTCTGGAAGGAGGAACCACTACTGAGTGTGTATAACAAGCTGTGCACAGTGCGAGGTACTTTCACAGAAATTCCCATGTCCACTGAGAATGAGTCTCGTGTCTTCCGGATGAGAGGGAAAGCTAAAGATGGCTAAGAACTAGCTTTCCACACAGATCAGCGTTCATTCTGGTCCCGCTACTTGCTAGCGAGTTACCCTAAGCAGGTTAACTAATCTCTCCAAGTCTATGTTCTCATCAGTTACGCAGGGATGAGGGCGTGATGATGCCGGCCCCGCTGGTTTGAACGGAAATGCGTGGTGCAGGTATGGGCCTAGCACTCAGGGTCAGGCCACTGCTGCTAACAATGGGAGTAGCTGTAACCTGCTGAAGGTCATAATTCAAACGCAGGCTTTCTGACTCCCAAGTTCAGTCCTCATGGGGAAAGAAGCCAATTCAGACCCGGCTGGCGTAGCTCAGTGGTTGAGCGTCGCCCTATGAATCAGGAGGTCACGAGGTCATGGTTTCCCACTCAGGGAACGTGCCCGGGTTGCCGGCTCCATCCCCACTGGGGGACGTGCAGGAGGCAGCCGATCAATGATTCTCTCTCATCACTGATGTTTCTATCTTTCTCTCCCTTTCCTTTCCTCTCTGAAATCAATTAAAAAAATGAAAAAATAAAGACAATGAATAAAACAAGAGAAACAGAAAGTGAGAAGGAATTATTCCTTAGGCTAGACTGATACTTCCATCTATCAAGTAGAAGGGGAGGGAATAACAAAAGGGAAAATGGTTAAAAGAAAAAAACTATACAGATTACACACACACACACACGTGCCTAGAAGCTGTCACAAAACACAAGGCTTTCACACTCATTTTCACACTCATTTCCTTGTTTTCTCCCTGGCCCAGGAGGCCAGCTGATCACCACGGCAATGTGACACCCTCGGAGCTGGCCCTCCGTTCGCAGGGGGAGAAGCCAGTCCTCCTCAAAGGACACACCAGCCAAGACCACACAGTGACCAACTCATTTATTTCTCAGAACTGTTCGCTTCTTGAGATTCCCTGCAGATGGGGCGACCACAACACGTCCCTGGGGCCCGTCGCAGACCTGTCCGAGCATCGTCCTCGGGCAGCCGAGTGCGTCAGAGGTCCAACAGGAACCTCCTCACCTGGGCCAGGTATTTGGGTTGCAAATAGTCGCCCAGCTCCTCCTTGCTGACCCACACGTGCCGGCCCTTCTCCTCGGCCTGGGAAAAGTCTCCAGTGAGGAGCAGTGCTTTGAAGAAGAAGACTTTGGCCCCGAGGCTGCTTTCTGTCCGCACGGCCTGGGGGAACTTGAACTTGTAGTGGCCACAGGGTGCATTTCCCAGGAACTTGGCCTCCATGTTGTGTTCTGAGGGAGGGGGAGAAACAGAATTGCCAGATGAGGACACACCCACCTGTGGAGTCCGGCCAAGGTCAGAGAAATCCCGGGCAGGGAGGAGTCCTCGCGGTCATTCCTGAAGAGCCGATGCACGGGGTCCACTCCGTGTGCCACGCCTCCGCTTTCAGACGGAAGCCGGCAACGCAGCTCCAACACCACTGCTGCGTGTCGCGGCACCGATCTTCTAGGCTCAGCCCTGTCACCGTCTGCTGGTGAAGGACCAAGTCACTCGGTATCTGCAAAGCAAAACTCGTCAGCCCTTTAAAGGAGTGTCTCACGGGAAGCATGAAAAGAACCTGATTTGACTTCTGTAGGGGGAACGCACCATAACCAGAGTTAAAAGACCAAGGTAGGTAGGTAAGTCCTCCAATGTATAACGAAGGGCTTAATAACCCCAGTCCGGTATTTCAAAGGATGGGGAAATGATGGATTACTGAAAGGCATGTGGAGAACTGGCGAGCTAAACAAGAAAAATAAGGCTGGAACTCAGCCCTCATGTCAAAAATGATACCGCACAGATAAAAGATTTAACAACAGAGACTTAAATTTTTCATTAGAATTTTATTCATTTTTGATGGTTTCATGGATATTTAATAATATTTTCTAAATGTTAACATATTTTTTAGTTTTTCATTTAAAAAAGAGACCATAAAGTACTTTACTTTCTGCATCATTTTTAAGAGAGGAAGGTCTAAACAAAACACAAAATTAAAGAAGACATTTACATAAAAATTAAACCTTTCTTCAAGGAAAAATAAAGCCATAAAAAAAGGCAAAGCCAAAATGACAAACTAGAAAAAATATTTCAACACATTCAACAGAGAAACGCCTGCAGGTATAAGACGTACTTAGCAATCAACAAGGAAAACAAAACAGATCTAAAGGAAAAATGAACCATATGAACAGGAAGTTCACATGGAAGCCAATTATCAAACTCATTAAAGTAGGCTCGACCCGCCCTAACCGGTTTGGCTCAGTGGATAGAGCGTCAGCCTGCGGACTGAAGGGTCCCAGGCTCGATTCCGGACAAGGGCATGTACCTTGGTTGCGAACACAACCCTGGTGGGGAGTGTGCAGGAGGCAGCTGATCGATGTTTCTAACCCTCTATCCCTCTCCCTTCCTCTCTGTAAAAAATCAATAAAATATATTTTTTTTTAAAAAGTAGGCTCAATCCTATTATTAAAGAAATAGAAATTAAAACAACAACCTATTATTACTAAAGTTCAAACACTGAGCGGCACACTGCTTGTCGAGGTTAAGAAAACATGGGACTCGGCAATGGATGTGCATGAGAATGACTGCTGTGACTGGCAAGGTATCAGCTTTACTTACACAGACCCTGTGACCCAGCAACTCTGCCTGCCTGCAGGAGCGAAGATGAGTGTACAGGACGGTCACTGGCCCTTTATTTGTAAAAGCGACAGGCTGGTTAAGCAAACGGCAGAACACGCACACGTAAATAGCACGCTGGTGCTGAAGTGCAAGCGATGTCTGTGTACTGATATAGATGACTACAGGCTCTATGTAAGAGGAGAAAAAAGGTGCGTAACTGTATAAATACGCTGTGTGGGTAAAAGCAGCAGATACCATATGTGCCAATTCTAAAAACATACCCAAACTGCCGATGCCACGTGACTGCCTCTGAGAAGGGAAAACTACTTCTTACCCCGTGATACGTTTACTAGACACCGTTGGATCAATTTTTCACCATCTACAATGAATTGACATTCTCTGTATTAAAAAACAACAACACTATATACAAAATGTCAACAGTGGGTCTGTGAGTGGCGAGATTATATCTGTATGTTTCTTTGTACCTTTCTGAAATTTCCACTTAATTTCTATAACCTGGGGAAAATGGATTAAGAAATAATAAAATCAAGAAAATAAAAAAGAAACTGTTCACTACAAACATGAGCAAAGAATCTGAACAGGTAGTTCACGGGAGAAGAAATACAAACAAGCCAATAGACATGACAGGATGGTCAATCTCACCAGCAATTAGGAAAATGCCCATCCAAAAGCAATCATTTTTACCGACTGGATAGGCAAAAATTAAAAAGGGAATATTTCATGTTGGGGAGGCCTGGCAAACAGGCACTGTTCACACCACCCCTGAAAATGTCAAATGCTAGCTTCATTCTGCAGGACCCCTGGGCGCAGCAAGGCCCCACCCACCCTATCTGCCGTGCTCCCTCCCTCAGGCCACACAGGCCCCGCTAGGGAACGGGTACTTAAGATGGGGGCAGGGCCAGTTAAGTGGTTGTGCACATATGCTGCCAAATCCACTTTCTCAAAAACACTCAGGAGATACCTCCTCGGGCCAGACACTCGCTAAAAGCCGGGGTGATGGAGAGGAATAGATACTGCGCAGACCTTCAAGGGAGTCAGAACTCTGGCTGCGGAGGGAAACATGTTACTAAACCATCACAGGGCAACGGGAAGTGAAAGAGCATCCTCCACCAGAACAGAGGCTCCCAGGGAGCGGGAATGTCCTGTGACGTCATCACGGTGACCCCGCCTGCACAGGCCGGCAAATGGAAGGCGAGTGTTTGCTATGTACACTGAGTGAGGCACACGCAGAGCTACGGAGCCGCAGGGAGGAGCTCTCTCTACCCGCAGGCCTGGAGAAACTCCCACCACAGCATGTTTAACCAACGAGCTGAGACTTAAACACGGAGCAGTCAGACCAGGGAGGAGTAAAAGCATCCAATCGGGGACCAGCATGCATCAAAGCAGAGGTGCATGAAAGACCACATTATGCAAGGAATGCAGAAGGTTTGCTGGGTTAGAACGCAGACTGCACATTAATGAGGCGAGGCGGAAGACTGATGAGCTCGCGATCAGAGCAGAAAGGATTTGCAGGCCATGCTTGAATGTCCGAACTTTTATGGGAAACCTTGTAAGGATTCTAGGGAGAAGCCACAGGGATGTGTTTGAGCAAGCTCATTCCGGCAGCACTGAAGGCTGTGACACAAAAGGGAGAACGAATTCAGAATCTACTTTACGCATCCAGTGTCATGGTTCTCACGCACCGTGACTTCGCTCCCCAGCTATTACCTGGCAACATCTAGATAATTTTGGCTGTCATTTTGGTTGTCACACTACAGGGGGTGGGGATGGGTCAGTGCCGCTGGCATCTAATGGGTACAGGCCACAGATGCTGCTAAACATGCCACAGGGCACATAATGTGCCCACAAAGAATACTCTGGCCCCAACACCAATAGTGCAAGGCTGAGAGACCCTGGGGAGAAGTCAAGGTGTCAACGCCAGAGCTGTGGGAATGAGGAGGTACTCAGAGCAGACCGGGTAGGACTCAAGAAGTGATGGACGTCGGGATGCGCTCAAGGATAGCTCTGAGGCTTCTAGTGGGTGAACAGGTAAGTGGCGGTGCCAAAGAGCAAGGCTACGAAGAGACGCAGGCTGAGAGAATGGTAGGAACAACAGTGCTGAATGTACAGCTGATCCTTGAACAAAGTGGTACCCACCCCAGGCAGCCACAGCCCACATATAACTTTGACTCCTCCAAAATTTAATTATAAAAGCCTACTGTTGCCAAGAAGCCTTACCAATAACGTTAATTAACATATATTCCGTGTGTGTATTACATACTGTATTTTTACAATAAAGTAGACTAGAGAAATGTTATTAAAAAAATAATACACTTACAGCACTGTACGTACTTATTCCAGAAAATCAGCATATAAGCGAACCTGCACAGTTCAAACCCATGTTGTTCAAGAATCAATGTACTAAGTTTAAAAATCTCAGTGGGAGAAAGAAACTCTCACTTGATCTAAGGAAAATCCTTACCTTTAAACCGTGCTCAGTCGGCCTTTAAATCCTCCGGCACCTCATAGGGTTTAGAGGGGGACGGGCACTTACCTGACAGCAAGGCCAGGGTTCGCTCAGCTGTTGCTCGGAGGGTCTCCCCCGGCTGCCACTCTGCCTGGGGCAGCACCCAAACATCCTGGTCTCCAAACTTCTCTTTGACCAAGAGAACGAGGTTCCTGTCGAGCTTCCGGTGCAGTGAGGTCCGGTCGTTCTTCTCATCGGCTTCTGCGAAGAAATGGGGGTCAGAGGGGACGAGAGCACGTGATCTGCCAGAACCGAGGAGATGAGAGCTTTACAGCCTTCCTTTAAGGCAGAGCCACATGCTTGCTCCCAACAAAACTGACAGAGTCCCTCTCCATCTGTGGCTGTGCTTTCTGCCGTTTCAGTTACCCGCAATCAGATCACAAATGGAAAATTCCAGAAATAAACTAGTCAAAAGCTTTACACTGCACCACATTCTGAGCAGCATGATGAAATGGGGTGCCGTCTTGCTCCATCCCTTTGTCCAGCGTCCCCAGGCTGTATACACCCCTGGCCCGTCAGTCACTCAGCCATTCCAGTTATCAGATCAACCGTCACAGTGCTTGTGTTTAAATAACCTTTATGTCATTCATCATGGCCCCAAAGTGCAAGAGTAGTAATGCTGGCCATTCAGATCTGCCCAAGAGAAGCCATAAAGTGCTTCCTATACGTGAAATGGTGAGTACAACACAATGAGGTATTTTGAGAAAGACACACCACATTCACAACTTCTATTACAGTACATTGCTATAATTATTCTATTGTATTACTAGCTGTTGTTAGCTATAATTATTCTACTGTATTACTAGCTGTTGTTAGCTATAATTATTCTACTGTATTACTAGCTGTTGTTAGCTATAATTATTCTATTATATTACTAGCTGTTGTTAGCTATAATTATTCTATTGTATTACTAGCTGTTGTTAATCTCCTGTGCCAAATTTATAAATTAAACTTTACCATAGGTGTATATGTATAGGGAAAAACATAGTATACACAGGATTTGGTACTATCCAGTTTCAGGCACGCACTGGGGGGTGGGGAGGGTCCTGAAATGTATTCCCTGAGGATAAGGGGGGACTGCTCTAATTAAATTACAACCCTGACCCATCTCTCTAACTCTGGCCTCGTCCAAGGTAAAACCTCACAATCTCCAGGAAACTAAAATATAAGAAGAGGAACCCAAAAGCTGGACTTCTCCTTTGACGAGCAAACCATGAAGTATTCCGCCTCTGAAAGGGAGGCAATGCCCACAGTAACTCAGACCCCACACCTTCCCTGGTGATGACGCTGTTTCTGACTTCACCAGCCCCCGCTTTCTCCCTGGCATTCCTCTGTGAAACAGGACAGGACTCACCCTGGGTTTTAGGAGGGTTTTCAGATAAAGCGCCAGGAGCTAGTGGAAAAGGCTTAATTTCCCCCTCTCAGTCCAAACTAGGAGGTAAATTCAGAAAACACTTCTAAAGTTTGACTGAGAAAGAAGGCTATCCCAACCTCATCTCCTATTCAAAAATACTATAGGCCTTAAATTTTATTAGGGGCGGATGCGAGGAACGGGGGAGACATTATTTTCCTCCCACCTGAGAGACGGATGATTTGTCATTTGCAATTATGTGTTACTTAAAACACTGAGCAGGGTTAAGCGACTGTCTTTCGTTTGGGAACCAGAATACTCTCCTCCTCCTCCTCTTTCACTTTTCTCCTGAAAGACCACACACCTGTTATGCGAGCTCCCGGTTTGAACTGTAGGAATTTCTGCTCCCAAATTTCTTCCAAATCCTGAACCAGCAATATATTCTGTTCATCTTCATCGTCATCGAGGTCAGCTTTCCTCTTTGCCAGGCGCTGCGCTTCGTCCAACGCACGGAGCTCGTGGTCTGAATACCGGCTTCTCTCGATCTCGATCTGGGGAAATTAAGAGGCAGAATGAAACAGTTACAGCACACTTGACAGACTCGGAAGTTTACCACCCAACACAACCAGACATACAATCAGACCACCACAGGGGGGGGAAACAACAGAAAGGAAAAGGTCACCTGCACCTGCACTGTGGGCTTGAGTTACATTTGCTAAAATGTGAGAATGTGATTGGAGGTCAAGATGGTGAACAGCCCGGCCGGTGTGGCTCAGTGGTTGAGCGCTGACCTATGAAACCAGGAGGTCATGGTTCGATTCCCGGTCAGGGCACATACCCAGGTTGTGCGCTGGATCCCCAGTGTGGGGCATGCAGGAGGCAGCCGATCCATGATTCTCTCTCATCATTGATGCTCTATCTCTCTCCCTCTCCCTTCCTCTCTGAATCAGTAATACAGTTTAAAAAAAAATAAAAAAGGATGGCGAGTAACAGAGACCAAGCTGCAGTCATGTCAGTCTTGATGGGAACCTCACTCACCAAGGACTTTTGATGTTTCTCTTGAAATTATCGTGTTTTCTTTGATTACAAAATCCGCACTGTTAACCGGTTGAGAGTCAATCCGCACTATTAACGTGTTAACACTTAACCCGCACTATTAGCTGGTACACCGAGCACACAACCTGTGACTGACTCCCTGGCTCCTGCCCCCGCTCCACCCCCACCCCATCAGCATGAGCGCGGGGCATTTCACCAGCACAATGTCTGTGCAGTGTGTGTGCACAGTGAGTGTCTGTGCACGGTGTGTGTCTGTGCACAGTGAGTGTGCACGGTGTGTGTCTGTGCACGGTGTGTGTGTGCACAGTGAGTGTCTGTGCACGGTGTGTCTGTGCAGTGAGTGTCTGTGCACGGTGTGTGTGCACAGTGAGTGTGCACGGTGTCTGTCTGAGCACAGTGAGTGTATGTGCACAGTGA